GACCTGCTGTTGCTGTGCAGGCCACCCCTCCCCCAAGTTGGGCTGGCAATCCCCTGCCCTGGCTGAGTCCTGGCTCCAGCCCCACAGGCACCCCAGTCCTCCCGGGTGCCCAAGGCTGCATTCCTCACCACGAGCACAAAGCACCAGCAGCCCATGCAGGGTGAGGGACGCCCTGTTGCTATTGCTGTCACCAGAGCTGCCCAGGGGTTTCCCTGGAGCTGCACGAGTGAGGCCTGGCTGGAGGCCGGGTGCCTCCATCCTTCCACAGCCCCTGCCCAGTGCCGCAGGGGTGCAGAGCCCCTGGGGTCACCCTACAACACAGGAAGCCAGGGGTGAGGGGGCTGCAAAGGGCTTTAGCTGGTGCTAGCCCCCACTCCAGCCCCTGCTATGGTAGGGAGCAGGTATCTGTCTCAAGGTAGGCAGGGCATCAAGCTGGCACAAAGACTGCAGCCCTGAACTGATGTGCGTGGAAGACACTAGCAGATGAAGTATCAGTGTGCACACTCCCTAGTGCGTGCAAGATGCTGGCCAAGCCCCTGGGGCAGCACAGGGGCAGGCACAGCAGCCCAGAGCCCAGCCTTGCTGCGGTGCCCATGCTGCCAGCGTCCATGCCAGTGGTGCAGCAGCCTTTGGGTCCATGTCCCTGCCCTCTGTGGCAGAGTAAGGCTGGCTGGGGCTACTCCTCCAGGAGCAGGTCTGCAAGACCCCTGCCCACCTCACAGAGTTTTTAACCTACAAAACTGCATGCAGTGGAGCCCTACCAAGATTGTTTCTTTTTTCCTTTGCCAAGGGACTAGCAGTGATGCTGTCTTACTTTTCCGATGCTGGCCAGGAGGGAAGACACAAATGCATCAGCCCTCTGCTGCCGCCAAATGCTTTCTGGCTCCCAGACACTAAGATCAAATGCTGTGGGAAGCAAGCATGTAATGTCTGTCAGAGCAAATGATGGTGGCGTAGGTGCAGGCCCGTGCCAGGCACTGACCCCTTTTTTTCCACACCCAGCAATGCTCCTTAGACCTCTTAAGCTGCTTTGGCTGAGAGTCAGGAGGTGGTGGTGAGGGAGGAGCAAGGGAGCCACCCACAAATGACATAGTCCAGTCTAACACACAGCTCGTATTTAAAAAAAAAAACCCAAAACTAAAAAAACTTTTATTTGACAATAGAAGAACAAACAAAAGATATTTACAGTAGTTTTTTGCTCCGTAAATTTCATTCCAATAATCCCTGCCCTCCCCACTCTTTCTGATCCATCCCCAGGGCAGCAACACCCGTCCATGGCACAGGCACAGCTGTAGCACTCCTGCCCTGGGGGAGGAAACCACTTTGGTTTGACTGGGGCAAAATAAGGGGAGGAGACTAAAAAGCCTCTCCCTCCCCTGGGGGAGGAAACAGAACTGCAGGGGGGTAACAGGGGGAAGGGCTACCTAGAAATAAGGGATGGAGTCCTAAAATTCAGGGCTTTCCCCAGAAAGGAGGCAGAGGGCAAAGGCTGGACATAAAATGGAGCTGGGGGAGATGAGGAAGGGGATGTTCACAGCCACATGATGAGCATCCACCTGAAGTGGTGCCCTCTGCCCAGCCGGGTAGCGCTGGGCCATCTCTGCGCTGCACAGGGGCACCCGGCCAACACGGCACGCTATTGGCAAGCCTTCCTGCAGCTCCCCGCTAGCACTCAGGAGCTCCTCTCCCCTGTCACCTTCTCTCTGACGAAAAAGGAGGGGGGGTAGGGGTGGGAAAAACACCAGTCCCCAAGACCGGTGCTTTTCCCTTCCAGGCCCCATCATCCTGCAGTGTGCTGCTCCCCCAGCACCACTGGCTCCAGCCACTGCAGAGCACCAGATCCTGTGGACATTATTATCTCTAGTCATGCAACTTAATAATCAGGCTAATTACCTAGGATTAGTGTTTCTCAGGATAGATAACATAGGTGCGTACGTATCGCTATTTAACTTACATTTTACAGTGAAACAGCAATATCTCAGTCCCAGGACCAGCACAGCACCCAGGCTCCCGCTCAGTGACAGCAAGCGATGCCTGGCCAGGAACTGCCCCAGAGCCCAAAAACCAGCGCCAGGCCAGGCTGGGGAGGCCCAGCCAGCTCCCAGCAGACACCAGCTTGTCACTAGAGGTCACCAGCACTGCACAGCAGAGCACAGCCACGCTCAGCCCCGGAGAGCAAGAGCAGGAGGGAGGGGACGGGGGAGCAATAGGACTTGATCCCTCTGCGTTCCCAGGGCAGTTCATCAGCGCTTGGCTGATGAGACAACTGCTTTCCAGGAACCGTGGTCTGCAGGCTGTGAGCACTGCACTTTCAGAAGAACACACATGCCCATGCCCGCAACACGCCTCTTTCCAAATGTTTTTTAAAAAAAAAATTAGAAAATAAAGAAGTTGGATACAAAATTTCACAGTCTCAGCTTTGCGTCCACCCCCAGCAGCAGCCTGCTGTCAGCATCTCGCAGGCTCTGCAATGCGCTCTCTGTTCCGGGACACAATGTGCACATATTCAGCAGGAACTCAAGAGAAACACGGGGAAGTTGTGGAAATGCTTATAGAAGGAAAAAAAAAAAAATCATGTAATAAAATCACAACTAAAGGGAAAATGTTTCAACAAAAAATTGCTAAACAGCACCATAGAGAATTCTACTGGCAGCATCCGTAACACCCTAAGGCAAAAGAGGAGGGTCCCATATTTTCCGTGCGAAAAAATGCCACAGACTTCAGGTTTCCAGTTCATCTGTCCTTTGCCCTTCCCTGGGCAAGGCAGGGCTCCTAGCCAGCACAAGGTACCAGAAAGGCCCTCCACAAACAAAAGGAAAAGGGGGGTGGGGGCTGGAAAGAGATCAGAGATTTGGGAGAAAAAGCTTTTCATCCATAGTCCTTAAAACAGACACCAACTTTAAAAAAAAATAAATTCTCTCTTTCTCTCCTTGAAGAAACAGTGTTGGCTGGACCCTTGTTTACAGGAGAGAGAAAAAGAAGTCAGCAGGTTTTCCAAGGGGAGCTCCACAGTAATCGTCAGTCACGGCAGGGAGAGGTCAGTAAAGCTGCAAAGGTCTTTTCACAACAGCCAGATTGCAGCGGCCACATCCTCCCGTGCACCCGGGGCACCATCCTCGGCAGCAAGGGCAGCAGGCGGGGGGCATCTCCCCAGCGAGAGGATGGCGGGATGGGACAGTCCTTCCTCTCCCCCCTTGGCTGACAGGGAGACCAGAGCCCCCCAGAAGGCAGGAGTCCGCTTCTGAGATGAGCTGGTCAGCGGGGTGCAGGCAGACGGGTGGCTCGAGGCTGGGAGGGTCAGGCACCCCCCAAGGAAGGGCACCCTGCGGGACCTGGCCCAGGGGGTTATTTGGAGACGGAGGCTCCTGGGGGCTCAGTCTGCGGTGAGAGGGGCAGCTGCCCGCCCCTCCGCCTCCAGCTCGGCCGCCTTCTGCAGCGCCACCTCCACCAGCAGCTGGAAGCTGCTGAAGTCGTCGCCGAAGAGCTCGGGGGGCGTGGGGGGCGGCGTGTTGAAGAGTCCGCTGGTGGGGCTGGCCGCCTCGGCCCGGGCCAGCAAGGTCATGGTGCTGCCGGTGGCACCCAGCGGCACTTTGGGGGCAGGGTCCGGCTCCGCTCGCTGCGGACCAGGGGGCTTCTCCAGCTCGGGGCTGTGGGCGCTCACCACCGTCAGGTTGCTGCCCAGCGCCTGGGCGGGGTGGCACAGTACCTGCGGGCACACGGACATCGACAGCACCTTGGAGGCCCCCGCGGCCGTCCCGGGAGGTGCCACCAGCACCCCGGAGCCGGCAGCAGCCCCCCGCGGCAGGGCCACGTCACCAGCTTTGCCCCCTCGGCGGGAGATGGTGAACTGGTTGGGGTCCTTCCCGTCCTTGCGCAGCATGTCAGGGAGTAGCCGCCTCCTGGCGTTGATGAACCAGTTGCAGATCTGGGAGGAGAGAGGGGTGCAGTGCTGTCAGCCCGGGGCTGCCTCGCATGCACAGCGCCGACCGGGGGGGGGTGGCAGCCTGAAGCCAAGCCAACAGAAGCTCCCCCCAGCCCCAGCAAGCAGCTCCTGCACACCCCTCTACCACAGGTCTCCCCCCCCAGCCCCGCACCTTCTTCCTGTGGGGCTCCAGAGAGGCAGAGCTACTCCTGGCAGGGGTTGCCCAGCCACCCACGGAAACCCCAACACCGGCTGCTTCCTGCCTGGCACTGCCTGCCTGGGGTAGCCCCTTCCTCCCTGCACCCCGCTCCCGGCTGCCCGCGGTGCAACGTTCCCACTCAGCCGTGCCAGCTCTCCCTGGTGGGGACTGTGCATGGGTGCCAGCCCCCCATGGCACCGCCAGCACCTGCTCACCGTGCCAGCACACTGAACAGAGCCTGGGCAGCTTTGGGGCCGAGCCACCTCGTGAGCCAGAGCAAGGCTGCACAGAGCCACTGGAACTGCAGTGGCTCTTGAGCAGAGCTGCCCACTCCCTGGTGAAGGATGGGCTCAGCACTGTCCCCCCCCACCGCAGCCCCAAAGTCCTGGCAACTGACTGTGCCCAGCCGCACGCAGGTAAAGCAGGGTGCAGCTCCCAGCACCCTCCCAAGGGCTCCTGCCATCCCCTCAACCAGAGGCTGTGGCATTGCCTAGAGCCAGCTCAGAGCCCAGCGGCCTCCAGCAGGTCCCTGGTCTGGGGGGGTTTCCCTTCTCCAGATGACCCACCCCAGAGGCTGGCGTTCCCAGCCACGCTTCGCATGCTGATGCCAGTGCCAACATGCTGCCAGCCTGGACAGGAGCACTAAGGCTGCTCAGAGCAGGCAGACGGCAGGACAGCAGCATGGACGGAAAACCCTAAAAACCATCATCTCGCAGAGCTGCAGCCCCCCATCCCCTAACGGGGTGGCAGGGATTGCGGCAGTACATCGACACCTTCCCATGCCTCCTGCCAATGAGCGAGGTTACAGCTAACTTCAAAGGCTCTTCCAAACATCTGCACACCGTAGAAGCACCGTAGCTCTGCGGCTACACCTCTGGAAGCCCTTCAGAAACACAGCGGCCACGTATTCAGTCTCGGCCATGTATTGTTTCAGGATCTTTATATAAAATGCTACATTAAAATAGCTGCCTTCTCCGTAGAAAACAATTAGAAGAGAATAAATCAGGGGGAAACAAAAAAAGTGACTGATCTTTCCTAAATCAACAGCTACATAAAATATTTCCCCCAGAGAGAGAGAACTTACAACTTCGATCGCAGCAAGATCTCAGTTGTACTTTTTTTGTCTTTAAGACAATATTTGGCATTTAACACCCTCAAATACACCAGTCTCGCCCCCTTTTCCCTTCCAAACACCCTCCCTTGCAAGCCTTAGCCGGGTCCCCTTGATGTGATCTTGCGATCCCGTGGCCATCAACTGCTGTAATCCCCAACCAGAGGGCTGGACTCACAACAAAAAGCCCAGCCAACTCCAAAGCCCCCAAAAATGCTGCCAGTCCCCCCCGCCATGCTCCTTCCAGCCTTCAACTCCCTCTGAAGAACACAGCACTGAGACGGGCACACACAACCACCAGTGACACAGCAGGACACCACACAGCATCACCCGCCCAGGGAGCTGGGATATGCCTCAGCTTTGAAGCAAGCAGCTTTTTTTTTTTTTAAAAAAAAAAACCATGGCCATCACTTGGCCCCACCACCAGTGCACACTGGACCATCACTTTGGGCAGTGTCTGTCCCCACCACCGCTGCAAGAGCAGCATCCCCTCTTGCAGGGAGAAAGAGCCCATCCCCACAGGAGGGCACAGGCTTGAAAACCTGCTGTTGTCTGGGAAGCCTAGCCAGGAGCAGGCACCGCTTTCTTACCTCCCGACTTTCTGCAAGGGAGACACATGGCTTCCCGGTCTCCCTGGAGACCCGGAGTTGCTGCACTCCTGATCCCTGGCCGCCGGCGCCTGGCTTCAGCTCCCCAGGCCACTGGCTGGGCAGGGGGATGCACAAATAAACAACTGGGGGGTGTTCGGCCAGTGGCTGCAGCAGAGCCCTGCGCTTGAGAGGCTCCTGGAGGGGTCGGATCAGCGCTGACAGAACCCCACAGCCACTCCAGCCTTGCCGTAGGGTGTCCCACACCTCCACCCCAATAGGCTTCTCCTCATCAGATGGAGCAGCCCCCACAGCATCCTGTTGTGTCACCTCAGACTGACAGAAATCCCAGTGACAGCCCTCAGCTGGCCCTGGGAAACGCCACCAGGCTGGGACCCCCTGCCTGGGGGGTACAGGGGCAGCCTCCTCACCAGGCACAGGCAGGGGGTCCCACAGGGCGGGCAACAGCTGGCACATGGCAAGGCCACACCTTGACACAAGCCCACGTGCCTGCCAACACCCTCCTCGGTCCCAAAGAGCTCAGGGCACGGACAGCCGGGCACCTGCCGGTTCTGGTCCCACTGCCACAAGCCCTAGGGTAAACTCCCATGTGCCAGGCACCGCCGTGCCAACACCGGTCCAGGGCAAGCCCAGACTCCCACAGCCCCAAACCCACCGCTTCCCCCCACCCCGCTCTGACTCAAGTCCTCCCAGGACCACCAGCCTCCCCTCGGAACAGCTGCCCAGACACACGTCTGGCCCAGCATTTAAAGAAATACATTAAAATGAAAAAGTTTGCCTTGCCAGCCAGGAAGAGGGAAACCAGCCAGCCACTGCCTACACACCGGTGTCTGGGCCGTGGCCGGGACAGCTGGCCAGAACTGCGCTGAGCCACAGGGAAAGGAGCCAGAGGTGCAGAGGAAGCCCCAAGGAGAGGAGCTCAGCTGCAAACCCGCTGGCCCTTGCCTGCTCCTCTGCACACAAGAGCTGTTTCCCACTCTGCTGTGCCCCCAGAACCAGAGAACAGAGTGAAGCCCCCATTCATCTCCCACCCTGCCGGGCTGGGAGAGGGGGGACAAGGCTCTGGGCACGCCGGGCACCTGCCGGTTCTGGTCCCACTGCCACAAGCCCTAGGGTAAACTCCCATGTGCCAGGCACCGCCGTGCCAACACCGGTCCAGGGCAAGCCCAGACTCCCACAGCCCCAAACCCACCGCTGCTCCCCCCACCGCTCTGACTCAAGTCCTCCCAGGACCACCAGCCTCCCCTCGGAACAGCTGCCCAGACACACGTCTGGCCCAGCATTTAAAGAAATACATTAAAATGAAAAAGTTTGCCTTGCCAGCCAGGAAGAGGGAAACCAGCCAGCCACTGCCTACACACCGGTGTCTGGGCCGTGGCCGGGACAGCTGGCCAGAACTGCGCTGAGCCACAGGGAAAGGAGCCAGAGGTGCAGAGGAAGCCCCAAGGAGAGGAGCTCAGCTGCAAACCCGCTGGCCCTTGCCTGCTCCTCTGCACACAAGAGCTGTTTCCCACTCTGCTGTGCCCCCAGAACCAGAGAACAGAGTGAAGCCCCCATTCATCTCCCACCCTGCCGGGCTGGGAGAGGGGGGACAAGGCTCTGGGCACACAGGGGTCCCCCTGCCTGGAGGCTGCTGGCCTTCGCGTGGATCAAAGGGTCAGGCAGCTGCAGGCAGGTTCTCCCTGCCACCCTAACTGTAGGCAGGGTGAAAGCCAAAACTGGAAGGAAAAGCATTGCTCACCCCCACTGCTAGCCAGGGCTCCTGGCTGGGCACCCATCACAGCACCACAGGGAGAACATCAGCCCACAACCAGGAGCGGGGCAGGGGGACTCCTGCCCAGGAGCCCTCAGCTGGGCTGGGCTCCCCTTAATGCAACTGGTGTAACTGGGGCCAGGTGGGCCAGCCAGTACTTAGTGCTGCTAATGGGCAGCACCCGGGGTCAAAGCCCAGCCCAGCCTCTCTCTGCTAGGATGGTTGTCCTGTGCCCAGCATTGGGGGGGTGGTAGCCCTGGCCCTTTTGTTGGGGGGTGCCCAGGGGAACAGGATAAAGCAGCACCCTCCTGAAACCCCCCTACCTGTGGCAGCTTTTACTAACAACAGGGTATTGCTCAGTTTGTCCCCATCCCTCCATCTTCTGGCCGGCCAAAAAGCTCTGCACCAGCACTGCCATAAAACTGGTCCCTGGGGCTCAGACCTCTCCCAAAAAGAGGCTGCCCACATGCAGGTGGCTTTGCTTCCCTGCCGTTCCCTTCCTTGCCTCCTCGCTGCCCTTCAGAGGCAAGCGGTTCCAGCATGCCAAGTCCTTTGGGATCTTTGGTGGGGTTCTCCCAGTCCGGCCCATCCCAAGTGCTGTGGCAGAGGACCCAGCGGCGACCCCAGCATGTGGGGGACTGGCTCCTACCTGCAGCACCGAGAGGCTGGTCTGCCCCGAGAGGCTGAGCTTCTCCTGCTCGGAGGGGTAGGCATTGAAGCGGTGCTCGTACAGCCAGTCACGGAGGATCTTCACGGACTCCTTGGGGAGATTGCCCCTTCTCTTCCTCTTGTTGGACTGCGAGGGGTCCGGGGATGTGGCGCTGTCGTCCTCCCCGAGGTCGCTATCCGACATGGTGGAGCTGCCTGCAGATCTCTCCTGGTTAACGCCTGGCAAGGTGGAAACCAAAGAGCAGGCATCAGGCGGCGTCCCGGCCAGGGGAGCGCGGGGGTCCATAGCCCCCCACACACTGCCTCGGAGGCGGAGGGCGGCTCACCCCCTCCTCACCCGGCCGGGGCGGGGGGGCATAATCCAGAGGCGGAGGACCCCCGGCGGGAGGAGAAGCTACAGGCACCAGCGGAGACAACAGCCCACCCCACGGCACTTCGGTTTGCCTAAACAGAGCCCCTGGAGGTCTGCGGAGACTGCACAGGCGTGAGCCCAGCGCACGCAAGCGGGGT